AGTTTAATATCTTCTATTTTTTTTTCAGCTTCAAATGCTGGGTTATGACATCAGTTGGGCAGCATTCAACATTATTGAAGTAATGAGCAGCTCTAAGTTTACGTATAAAGTAAGTTAAAGGCAACTATATTTATGACCACATCAAGTTTGAATTTATGTTAGACTTCCTTTTACCACACATCAAATACTCATTTACCTTAGTCCTACTCTATCTTTATTTCATGTCTTCTCACATGTGGGAACCAAATTATGATTATTGAGCAGATTGTGTTTATGTTTTGATAGCGTATTGGTTATCTTGCTGCATCCCAGTCATTTCATGAAGGACTTGATATCCTCATGTTAACAACCAACATGATAAGAAAGGTAAACAATGGTACTGAGGCAGGACATTTTACAAACTTAAATCCCGTCAATATAAGTGTTGAAGTGCAATACTAACAAATTTATACAATGTCATAGTATTATATTGTGTTGCTTCCACTGTTGTAAAATTACAAGATTTTTAGAACTACACAATACAATAGAATACAATACAATGCTATGAATAAGTTTCTTGGAGTATTGGACAAGTAAGGTCAATATGCTACAGGAAACATTTTGATTATTGATGATGATGATGATGATCATCATCATCATCATCATCTTTGTATTCCAATCAAGATTCCCATTGATAGAAGTGATAMCTAGTAAGACTTCATTTTATTTTCAAATGAAGGACCATATATCTATTTCTATTCTTTGTTTTCATGTTACGTCACAGCGGCCACGTTGGAGGAACTTTAACAAAGAATTTCTCATTATTGTTCATTCCTCCAACATGGCCGCTGGTCTTTTATCTTTTGAATCTCATGGGAATGGTTGAAAACGATCAATATTCAACCTGTTGTTTTTTTTTTCATACATTTATTGCATCTCTAACTTTTGCATCTCTCTCCCGTCCATCCATTAATGTTTGTTGTTGTTGTAGGATCTATGTAGTATGAACCTCTACGATGCAGGCATAGCTTTGTCTGGTTTTTCTTGCTTCGTGTCRCCAGACTTGGCCAGAGATCTTGCTAATGATGTCATGAGCTTGGTCAGTATAAAAAGGTCAAATCTGCTGTCTTATTTAAATGAGCTGACTAAAATTGCTTATATCTTTTGCAGCTTGTTTCAACCAAGCCTTACATYAGAAAAAGAGCTGTGCTTCTCATGTACAAGATATTTCTCAAGGTAAACGTGGTCCAAGCATTATTTTAGCATTCTTTTAAATCTTGACACAGTATATTGTATACTAGTAGCACAGACTCGGAAGATTTAGTATTAAACAAGCAACAATAATAACAGCACATTGAGATGGTAGATAAATAAAGGACAAAACATAATGCACTTGACACAACCTCCAATCAAAGCATCACATAAATGTAACTGGGCCCATTGAGTGGACATTGTTTGTTGACTGTCTCTTATYTACCATAATATGAYTGAATACATAAGCCGTGACTTAAACCTGACTATATCGGTGAGCTTGRAGCACTTCATCCATTTAAAAAGTTATGTTTTTTCTTTTCAAGTTTCCTGAAGCACTAAGGCCTGCTTTCCCTCGGCTGAGAGAGAAACTAGAAGACTCAGATCCAGGTAAGACAAACTGTTGCAAGTAAGGGCTTCAATGCTTTTTGTGATTTTGGTAGTCTTGTGAGGCTGATATTTGTAGATTGTATAGAATTA